CCATACTGAAATGAGTTTAAAAATGGCATTACGGAGACTGGGCTACGACCACAGACTCCCCATCAATTCAGGAAGTCCTTTCCTTCAAGAGCTACAAACCCCACAACAATAGTTGGATATGCTGCAACATACACACTTTAGAGGAACCAAGAAACCCGATAAGCTACATCAATACAAAAAGCAGAGCAGAAGGAGCATTCAAAACCAACAACATGAGAAGAATCAGAATCATAGAAGGAAAAAGAAAAAGAGTCTATAAACCCCACATTAGCGATTGTAACCTAGAGATCGACCCAATGGAATGTACATGGAACTCCTCTTCTGGTTCCACCCTCATCCCAAACCTATGTAAGTTAATTGAATAAACACCCAAACTAGGATATTCACTCTTCATCAAACCCATATCAATATTCAACACACTACGCGATAAGTGGACAAAGGAGGAAGCACAACTACCCAACACCCACTTCAAACTTCCCTGGACCACAGTCTTCTCCACAAGACCGATCAAGCTAGCCAGCCTGAGATGGCTAATAGCCTTCAGAGCAGTTCCAATACACCAATGGTTGGCCTGCAGATGCAATCACGGAAACGAAACGGAACAGGACCCCTGTTGCAAGGTATGCAACCTCAATACCCCTGAATCCCTAAATCATCGTTTCATAGATTGCCCTAAGGCCAGATCCCTCTGGCAAGCTTTAGAAGCATCATGGTACAAATTTCAGACTCTCCCCTTCTAATCAACCCAGCCACACTATTCTTCGACCTTAAACAATCATCTCCCCGCTCAAAGGCTTTGAAGCCGTCCTCTCCTCCCAAATCAAGAAAAGCACCCTCTGGGCCATATGGAAGAATAGATGCGACAACACCTTCGATGACCGACTCACCACCCCAAAAAACCCACTCGTCACCATCAAACAACGAATAGACACCGAAATCCACGCCCTCTGGAAGAAACAACTCAATCAACTCCCCACTGACCCCGACAAAAAAACAAAAATAATGAAAAAGTGCTCAACCTCTAAACTAAGAAATGGTCTACTGGGCACAATTAACAACGACAGACTAACCCTTAAAAATTGGCTAATCATAACACAATCACGAAGCGCCTCTACAACTCCCATGACCCACACACAATCGCCCCCCAAACCAGCCACTCACCACTAATCCACAACCGAACAAGCAAATATCCCTCTCTCGGCAACAGAACCCACTCTTGCTCTCCTCCCCCCCC